TATATGTAATAAATTATTAATAAAAGTCTTTGTGACAAAATAATAATTTGAAACCTTTGATTTCTTAGTGAAATACTTTTTAATAAATAATATCCTGCTTCGTGATTTCAATATTATTTTGTCTATAATTAACCTTGCTTCGTGATCTTGATTAATTGTATTAATTCTGTGTGAATTCTTGTAGTTTCTGTATGAAACTTATAATATTCTATGTGAATATTAGTCGACTTAGTGTCATATTGTTTAAACCCCATACCCCTTTAAAAAAAACTTCACACCTTAGCCTCTTTCGAACAAACCTGTACTATTAAATCCTTTACCCCTTATACCTCTTCAAGTATAAAACCTTCCAACTATAACATACTCATCTAATTGCTTTGTGACCTTTTGGATAATAGTTTTCATGTTATTAGTTAATAGTTAATCGTGTTTAGTAAAGGTAATCACAGTCAACAACGGATCACTTTTTTTTTTTAAAAAAATAATTTCGTGACTTTTAAATAAAACCATGAAATTTTAATTTTTTTTTTAACGATCTGTCGCTTTAAATAATAACGGATCACTTTTTTTTATTTTTTTTAGCGATCCGTCACTTTAAATAGTGACGGATCACTTTTTTTTTTTTAAAAAAATAATTTCGTAACTTTTAAATAAAGCTACAAAATTTTAATTTTTTTTTTAGTGATCTGTTACTTTAAATAGTGACAGATCACTTTTTTAATTTGATTTTTTAAAAAAATTCGTGGCTTTTAAATAAAGTCACGAATTTTAAAATAAAAAAAATTATATAGGCTTTTATTTAAAGCCCCAAAATTTTTAAGGCTCAAGCCTTGTGAGCCAGGCCTTAGTTAAGTTTGACTTGCGAGCCTATGAGTCTATAATATTAAGCTCAGCTCGGCTTAGATCGGCTTGGCTCGCTAGGCTCGCAAGCCTTAAGGCCTATAAGAAGCTTTAAGTACAACAGCACATTCTTCAACGAGAAGTTTGTTTCAGGTCTACAATATTGGTTATTGTTTTAGTGAAACAATTACATTTGATCATCACAATTTTGATGATATGTGTATATGCTCTTGTTGTAATGCTAAACTTTTTTCTATTGAAATACAAGAAACATGTTGCAAGTTTGGAAAAATCAGATAATGATTTATCAGAATAGGTCATCAGAATAATATTAAACATTTTTTATATATGATGTTATTGACTTTAGTTTGTTGGTAACAGGTTAACTATACTTGCACGCAAAATTATTTTGAAACCCCAAAATTATAATTTTGAGGAAAAAAGTTAAAATAGTTTTTCATAGAAGACGAAATTATTTTATTTAAAACCCAAATTCTTTGACCACCTAGATTTATTCTTTGATTAAAGATACATATAACTAAATACTTTTTTTACTTCTATATATAGAATAGATTTTGCATAAATCTCAAAAAGTCGAAATACCTCAAAAATTCAAAATCAATTTTGGGAACATGTATAAGGTTAACTCTCGCAAGTGATACTGCAATTTTAAAAAACTTATTTATTAGAGATGATGATGTTAAGAAAGATTTTTGTGCTAATATTAGAGCTTACAACAGTATTTTTGTATTTATTTCTATGGATATCAGATTAGATGAAAACCTTACAAACAGTAAGAAATTTTTAAAAAACTATATTAAGTTGCAGATATATCAATAATATATTAATTAATTTATTAAATAAGCAAGAATGGAATTTATATGTTTTGAATACAAGGAAGAATCTATTATTCTGTAGGATCACTTCTTCCGGTTGATGGAATTTCAAGATTTCTTCAATTATATTTACAACACCGAATTCGAAACAACAAATAGATTAACTATAATGCCTCAGCTTTGTCAAAATATTTTAGAAATTATCAAATTTTTGTTAAACAATTTAAATTTTTTTGTGACCAATTTTCATTCGATTTCCTCTGTTAACAATATAACAGAGCTTTGTCTTTCTATTAGAGCTGATCATGATTTAGATCAACATGTTTACAATATACCAACAATATCACAAGTTGCTACTGTGTTGATAGAAGGAAATGAACCTACAGAGTATACTGAGCATGATATAATTATGCAATTACGATCACAGGAACTACAATGGGTATCTGAACTAAATGGTTACTATGATCCAATACAATATCCACTTCTTTTTTTCCAAGAAGATTACAGCTGGTATCTAGAAATATTGCAAAATATGTCATAAAAGAAAGTTATCATTAAGTAATATTATTCCTATAAACTATACTTTTGAGAATCTTCCTTGACAATATTTTTTCTTAGCGGTCAACTTTTACAACAATATGTTATTGATAATTATGTTAAAATGAAATCTTTGCATCTTAATTATTTACATTTTAATTAGAATAAAATTTGTAAAGAATATTATTAGAGATTACAAGATTCTGTTAAATAGGAATTAGTTGATACATCTGAAGTAGGACATTGTGTTATTTTGCTTTCATCTTTTATAGAAATATGTATTAATATTATCAGGATGCAATGGCATTGATACAGGTTTATGGAAAATCAGATATATTTATCATCATTATATGTAATTCTCGTTAGTTCGAAATTACATCGGAACTTTGCCACAAGATAAACCAGACTTAACAAGTAAAATCTTTATTTTGTTTATTTATTTTATATTTATCTATTAAATTTTATTATGTCGTAACTATTATTGATCAGATTTGTCACTAATGTTTATTCTATTTTTCTAATTTTTAATTAATTTTAAAACTCAAGTTTTTTGTGCAAAATTACAGAAACTTAAGAAGAATTTGTTCAAAAGAAATATTCTCAGTCAAGTAGTAGCTCACATATATGTAGTGGAATTTCAAAAATATAGTCTTCCACATGCACATATGTTATTGATATTTTAACCTGATAATAAACTCTATGAAGCTGATGAATATGATACTATTGTATCTGTAGAGTTGCCTGATCTGATGGAGCAACCTAGATTATACCAAACAATAGTTTCTTACATGATTCATGGTCTATATGAACTTTTTAATAGTAATACCCTATACATGAAAAAGAATTTATGTAGTAAACATTGTTACCATAAGTTTCCTCCACTTTTATAATTTCTTATTATTTTATTTTTATTTCTTATTTATATTTATTTTATTAGTATAATTATTTTAGTATATTTAGTTACTAGTATTTATTTATTTAGTAGTGTAATACGAATTAGGTAAATTAATAATGTGGATCATAGTAGCCCAGTTACTGGTCAATTTACTGACCAATTTAGTAGCCAACTGATTGATCAACTTAGTGGCCAACTGATTGGCACAATTACTGATCAAGATTTTGGCCAACTTACTGATCAACTTACTAGCCAAATCAAATATTATAAAAAGGGTAAATTTTCTCTCCACCTTAGAATAAATTCAGATAGCTTCAAATTAGATTCGAATAATTCTAAATAGTAAAATTTAGAAAGTAATCTCAACTGTAATTAATTTTATTGAATTAATATTTTTATAATCCTAAAGTAACTGGATTATTGATTTTCTTCGTAATAAACTTATATTTCCTATATTAAAACTCTATTATTCTTTTATTAATTATATTCTTTGAATATAAATTCTGATCTATAAAATCCTGTTATTATTTTATAAACCATTGATAAATATATTTAATTCTTTACCTTAATCTCCTAAATTAACTTTTAAAACTTAAATTGTTAATCAATATTTAAAACCCATGACCTTAAATTCTTAAATTTTTTAATTAGTTTTTAGTATTCAACTTGGATATTTTTTTATTCTTCTTCTATTATCCTCTTCAATTCATAAACTAAAGTAACTGTTTACAAATTACTAGTTGTAAATTGCCTTTTGGAAAATAAAATTAATCCAAAAGGTCGACTAGTAATAATTTGGTACCTTCTAGCAAAAACGCAACAAAAATTGATAATCCCTTGATAAATTTAGTAATCTCTTTTACTTTTTTAATAAAATAATTTTCTTTTAGAATAATTTCTTTCTAGTTTTAAAATTTATTACCCTTTTAGTATTAGTAAATTCCTTCTATGATCAATACCAAACAAATTCAAGAACTTAATAAAATTATCGAGAAAATCGCAAAACTTTATTAACAAAAGATAAAATATATAGTTAATCAAACATCTGAATCAGAGAAACCTATGTGAAAATTAGAAGACCTTTTAGAATTACGCAAAATTAAAGATCAATATAATTTATTTTTTCGAATTCGAGACAACTGCTATCAAATTTTAAGTGATCCAAACCAATTAAAAGAAAATTTTTTTCTCCTAAATTAATATTCTATAAGTATCTTAAATAAATAAATAATTCGCAGTTTTGAGTAAAAGAATACCTCCCACTGAATCTCTTATTACTTACGTTACAAAATAATTGGAGCAGTTAGCTTCTAGTGCATTAGTAGATTTCTCGCAAACTATCTTTACACCACAACCACTTTTCGTCGTGACGTCACCACAAGATTCTACTACGCAATTTCCAAAGGCTGATAAGCCTGATAATATTTCATCCCCAGCTACTGCAAAAACTAAATCAACAACTAAATCTCCTACAATTCCAAAACACACTTGACCGGAAACAAAACTCAAACTTTTTTCTACTGTTATAGAATTGTTAGAAGAAATAGATATTTCAGACACCACTGTAAAAACTGAATCAAGTATTCCAAAAGAAAAACTAGGAGTATCATTAATCAAAACAAATTTATTAACTCCTCCTAAATCACACTATTCTTCCAGTTAGCCTAACACAGTAATATCTGAAGGATCTAGTTCTAGTACTTGATCTGAAAAGACATCCCATTTGTAACAAAGGATAAGATAAGGAGAATACTTCAGTCAACCCAAATCAACTACTACATTTAGTTATTTAAACAATTCTTTTACCAGAGAATCACAACGGTTAAGAACTCGAAAACAATCAACAATCAAATCTAACCCCTCTAAACAAAAGTATAAGTAAAAAGAGGAAGTCAATCTATTTAATAACAACGACACTTATTATAATACTTATAACCGTGACAATGATAACAATTCTTCCACTTATTATCGCAATGATTATAACTATAATCAAAGTAACAATAACAATATGACTATTACATCAATAATAATATTTATTCGAAAATCTTCGAAATTATATCACAACGTTAGATTTCGAAGGTTATTGATTATGTTGCAACCCTTCAAAATTGAAATTTGACGGTTAAATTTCAATACGTATTTTTTCGTTATCAAAAACTTTCAAAGTTCAATGCTAAATTTTTTAATGATAATGTAAACTTTCAAAATTCAACAGCTAGTATTTTAACATATTTTGTTTCAAGTTTATCGTTTTCAGATTACTTCGAATTTAATTGTTTCATTGTAATTCAATATATCTTATGGAAAATTTCATTTCATAATATTTTATTACTTTCTGAATTTTTTCATAATTTATTATTAATTTTATTATTAAAAGATAATTATAAATATTTTATAACATTTTTTTTCTATTTTTCTATACATTTTCATACAATGATGCAATAATATAAGGTAACTATTTTCTATATAATTCTTAAATATGATGCAAGTCTTTATTTTCTGTAATATTATATTACTTGATACTTCTTTTCACCTTTATTCTTTTATAAAGATAATAATATTTTAACTTTTATTTTGTTTTTTCGTAATTTTACAAAAGTTTGAAAGATGTTTATTTACCTTTTTGAGATTTTTTCAAATTTCTTTCAA